GAGTGAGACAAGGGGGGGGGGAGGGGAGGGGAAGGGAGGAAAGAAGAGAGAAGAGAAGAGAAGCGAAGCGAAGCAAAGCGAGAGGACAGAGAGAAAAGAAAAAGGAAGGAAGGAAAGGAAAGGAGGAGAAGAAGGAAGAAAGAAGTCTACAGACCTCTGCAAATGGTTAAACGCTTGGTTAAATGTATATTTTTAATATTTAATTATCCTTCAAAGGTAATTATTTAATCAAAGATACTAATGATGATACATGTGTGCAATTAAAATGCATGATAACTGTAGTTTAAAGGTCTGAGGGGACAAATGAAAATGTATTATCCTAAGGTTCTTACACTTCATGTGAACTGGAGTAATGATAAGTAAAATATCAGTACAATAAGTGTAAGACTTGTGTCTCACTTTTACTCCTGGAGCGTGAACAGCCAAGAGGCCTTCACGATGCTGGGCTCAGTAGCTCAGCGAGGCTCCAGGAGCTTGTCCGATAGCGAGAGTCACCCAGGAAGGAACACACCAGGCAAGTTGGCTAATAGACCTTTATTAGTCTGGCCAGACGGCACCTCCTAAGCCAAGTAGCTCAAGAAGGGCGGCCAGCTCAGAAACAGAGGCCATTTTATATTGGGCTGAAGGGGGGGGGTTACACTTAAAACTTACAGAGAGAGGACAAAGGCAAAGAATCAGTTAATCTGAGCTAGTGGTCATCAGGCATATACTTGACCGTCACGTACTAATGATCAGCAGATTGATTATCCATTTTTCCATTTTCAACTTAGATTACAAAGTTCAGAACATTCCACTACAGGCAAGCAAGGAGTGGTGTGATTTATGTTGGGTCTCTGTGTTCACTACAGTTTCCATCTAGCCTCCCAGCTACTTCAAAGCAGCCACCCAACAATTCACAATTAATCACTAGTTATTCCATAAGGGATAGGGGGGAGCGACAGCCTCCAGGTCATTCGCTGGTCAACATGGAGTCGCTCTGGTTCAGCCAGGCTCCCACATAAGCTCAAAAAGACCAATAAAATAAAAAAGAATAGCAAATAAATTTACAAAGCAATTAAAATGAAGTGTTTTAAATATTTTATTAATCCAAGGAAAGGCTGAAAAAGAGAAAGGGGAAAAAGAACAGAGGAGACAACGATGATAACCTCAAACATAATCATATCAATAACCATCTCAAGTGTAAGTGATATAAATGCCTAAATTAAAAGACAAAGACTGCATCTTGTATAAGAAATTGGGAATTAGTTTTACTTGCTGACTATAAGAAACATATATTAAACATAAAAACACAGATTAAAAGTAGAACGAAAAAAGCTTTACCATGCTGACACTGGTCAGAATCCTGTAATGTTGATGTAAACGTTATATGACATATATTTTGAGCATTTGAACTTTAGCAGGGATAAAAGCAACTCATTTCAAAATGTTAATAGAGTTAATTAAGAGGACATGAGAATCCTAAATATTTGCACACCAAAATCAGGGGTTATAATAATGTGAAGCTAAAACAAGTAGAACTACAAAGAGAAATAGACAATTTCACATTTACCATCAGAAATTTTAATGCCCTTATCTGGTAATATAACAAAAAGTAGCCAGAAAATAGTGGTTCATAGATTAGAGCAACAATAATAGTCCAATAATAACAAAATACATTTTTTTAAATGTACATGGAATATTTACCCAAGTAGGTCAGATTCTGGGTAGCAAAAGAAGTCTTAAAAATTTAAACAGATTAAAATATGAACTGTTTTTTCTGAGCATAACTGAAAACAGACTGCAAAGTAAATTCAAAGTAAGAAGAATAAATGAATAATAAAAATAAAATCATAAATACATGAAGTAACAAACAAAAGCAATAGAGAAAATAAATAAAACCCAATAAAACTGATAATCTTTAGACCACATTGATTAGGAAGAAAAAGATAAAAATTAGAGAGATTACAGAACTATGTATTTTACAAATATGAAGATAAAATACTAACATTTATGCCAATAAATTTTACACAGATAAAATTGAAATATTCCTCAAAAGACACAAATTATAAAGAAGAAATAGAAAATTATGTAGCGATAGGTCTCACAAGCATAGGATCAAAATTTTTGAACAAAACTTAGCAACTGAACCCAAAAGCATGTAAAATACCTTGTCCACATGGGGTTTACTCCAGGAATTTAGAGCTCATTTAAAGTTCTAAAATCAATCCAGGTAATTTACAATATTAATCAACCTAAAAATAAAGATCATATAATCATTTCAATAGATTCAGAAAAAGACAAAATTTCATTTCTGATATAAATTCTCAGCAAACTAAAAATAGAAGAAATGTCTTAAACCTAATAAAGGACACCTATGAAAAAACTTGCAGTTAACTTTATAACTCATAGCAATATCTTTTGTTCTGTAAAATACTAAATAGTAAATATGCTGTTTTGTATGACATATTCAATATTTATTACACGTTGATCTTCCTTTTTATTATTTTCAGTTACCCCTTATAAATGTAAAAAAAAAAATCTCTAGCTAATAGCACAAAACAGACCATGTGGTCTATGTGTTATACTTAGCAATATACAAAAATCAATTGCATGTTCACAAAATGGAAAAGAATAATCAGATATATAATTAAAATAATGGCATTTATCATAGCATCGAAAATTATAAATTAGGGATAAATCTGGAAAAAGAGGCAATAGTCCTGTACACTGAAAACATTAGAGAAATTAGCAAAAATAGAAATAATAAAGAAGTATACATTGTTCATGAAGTAGAAGACTCAGCATTGTTAGTATGTCATTTTGTTGTTGTTGTTGTTGTTGTTTTGGTGTTTTTTTTCAGCTTTACTTGAGTTTATTGGTACATTTTAGGGATACTTTATCTTTCACCATGCACTAAAGTATGTCATTTTTTTACTAGGTAGATCTATGAATTTCAATATAATCTCAAAAATCTCAGTAGACCTTTATTGTAAAAATTAACAAGCTGATTGCCAAATTCAGATGGAAATGTTAAACACTTAGAATTGTTAAAAAAAAAAGTCTTTAAAAGAATGAACTCGAAGGGCTAATATCACTGTTTTTGATAATTTATTAACAAGCTGATTGCCAAATTCAGATGGAAATGTTAAACACTTAGAATTGTTAAAAAAAAAAAGTCTTTAAAAGAATGAACTCGAAGGGCTAATATCACTGTTTTTGATAATCATTTAAATTACAAAGAAATCACAGCATTGTGGTGTTGGCATTATATAAGATTGCTTTAACAAAATAAAGTCCAGAAATAAATCTACACATGGTTAACCACATACGTTGAATGGATATTTATACACAAAGGCAATACAAGGAGAAGAACAACAGAGTTTTCAACAAATGATACTGAAACAGAAGTAGCTTGGAACTAATTCAAAACAGACTGCAGACTGAAATGGAAAAGCTAAAGCTATAAAGTTTTTAAATGAAAACTTCTGGGACCTTCAGGTAGCCAAAGATGTTTCTAACTATTATATCAAAAGCATGATTCATAAAAGAACAAATTAATAAATTGAATGTGAAATGGGAAGAAAAGGGCTATAGGTGTAGGGAATGTGGGAAGGGTAGAGGAAAGGTAATAAGGGGGAAAAAAACATAAAGTACTGCTATCAAAAGACATTTAAAACAATAAAAAACAAGCAACAGACTGGAAGAAAGTCTGCAAAACTTACCAAATAATTGACATACTAAGAATATGGGAAAAACATTGATAATTCAATATTCTAAAAAATTTAAAATTCTATTTTGAGAAATATGCACCTGAAAAAATGTTCAGTATTATTAGTAATTAGGGAAAAGCAACTAAAATCACAATGTATACCACTGCACCACCATTAGAATGGCTAAAAACTGGCCATTGCACATCCTGAAGAGGATGTAAAGAAATGTTCACTGGTTGTTAAGTAGGTGTTCATATAAGGACTTATGCATGAGTGGTCAAAATGTTCATACCTACTTTATTAGAGATAACCAAAAACGTGAACAGCCCAAATGTCTATCAACATAAATAGTCCCATATTGTTATTTATGATTGTCTTTATGTGTTCTAAGTAACAATTGTGTAAGTCTTTCACCTATACAGAAATGAAAAACAGAAGTTTGTCAAAATGCATTGACTTATACAATGTAAAAGCAGGAATAATAGCTATCAAATCTAGATAGCTGACCATGTTATTGTCAAAACTGGATAAGGTGACTGTGGTACTGTACTTTTAAATTAACTATAGAACATTATTTCATGTGTGATTTAAATTTTACTTATTCTAGTTACAAAAATAATGATGGCAACTATGATAAAAACTTTGTGGCAGTCACATTCTGCTACAATGGGTTCATACATACTTTGTGTTTTATGTGTTTAGGAACATCCTGTAAAGAATAGTTCTAATACTTTATTTTCACACACAAAAGTAAATGAACTTAAAGTTTAGACAAAAGTTGTTGCTATTTTTCCTTTCAACACTCAAGAGCTATTAAGTGACAAACAATTTGCATAAATTTACATGCAAACTGGGAAACTAAGTCTTTTAACTATTAAATGTTTCTTCTTTTTACAGAGGAAATATTAAAAATGAACTGCCCTACACACAAGGATCAGCCTGCTCTATGTGCTCAGACAAAGAGAAATGTGTAAAGAAGCTCTGCCGTAAGCAAAATTTAAAAAAAAAGATAACGTTCTATTTGGACAGTAATGTTACCTTTAAATTCACTATGTTTTTTTTTAAATATGGTCCTCCAGTTTATAATTTATGGATAAGATTTGATTGCTTCTATCTGACAGTATGAATCATTTATCATAAATTATCATTTTTAATTTCTTCTGTCTGACAGTATAAATCATTTATCATAAATTATCATATTTAAGTTTAGAAGATCCTTATCTTCACTATTTTCCCTCTGAAGCTAAAGGTCAGAAAGAAATGAAATACAACCACAGTTGAGTTTGCTGTTACATTCAAAATAACTATTCACTGAGGTGTTTATTTTGTGTTTGTTTTCATTTATTTCCTCTTACTAGCTATTATGAGGATAGTGACTCATCTAGAAGTAAATACTCATCAATGTCCAAATTAATTGTGATGTAAAATTAACATATTTTTCTGCTACTATCAGCTTTTTGTTTCTCAGCATATTCTTTCTTAGGATGGAGCATTCTTGGTGGAAAGAAATATATGTGTGTGACCATAAAAGGAAAGAGAGACACAAAAATAGTGTATATTAAATTATTTCATTTATAGGAAGTTCAGAATCAGGTAAAATTAACCCATTTTTTTGGTTGGTATAGTAGGTTCCTGTGGAGAATTTAGTGATTGAAAGAAGGCAGTACAAGGGCGTTCTGAACCTGTGCTGTGGCTACCTGTGTGTGCTCTTTGTAATAATTCATCAGTCTTTCCACGTATAGGATATGAATTTCAAGAGGATGAATTAGAAGATCCCCTCCATCTCAGATTTAATTAAAAGGAGTTTTTAAAACAAATTCATTGATTACATCCTATTTACAAACTGATGTTTTCTAATCGACGGGATATAAAAATAACAATACATTCATTTTTCACTTCCCCTTCACTCTCATCTTCCAAGCTAATCACTTTTTGCCTGAACTAGCACAGTCTCCCTCCCACTTCTGTTCACTCCAAAGTGTTTTATACATAGAAAATCAAATCAAATGATTCCTTTTCTTAAATTCCTCAATTGCTTTTAATTATGATGAAAAGTCTGATTCTATATCATGTGGCTAACAAAACCAAGCTCACTCTAGTTCATGGACGAGACAAAATATTTGACACTGAAAGTTAAAGTTAGCCATCCATAATAAGCTGGCTTCATGGTAGGGTGGCACAGCAGATGGCATCACAGAAGAGAAACAGTTCACAGCAGGAAGAAGGTGCAACCAAAAAACAACTACAGCTCCTTCTATCCTTGTATCTTCTTATCCGGATTTCTTAGAGCAAATAAAACACACACCCTTAATCCTAGTGCCCTTGATCCTAGCATTGAATCAATCCCAGTTTCACACACTCTAGGTCCAGGCACCTCTGAAAAAAGTCCCAACTATTACTGCCTAAGGCTGTGGGGGGGACATCTAAACATAAGGCATAACACTCAGCAAAGACATTACACGTCAAATTAGATTCCTTAGCGACATGAAACTGTTGCTGCTATATTCAAAATTACATTTCCTAGTAAATTTGACTGATTTAAAAATAGAAATGTTTGGCTCAGTAGTCTACTACCCAAGAATTTTACCAAATTCTTTCGTTATTTCCAATAGTTTATTGATTCACTTGAGTTTTCTATAACAATCATGCTACCTGTAGGACAAATAAAAGTCTTGTTTTGTTTTGCTTTTTTTCCTAGTACCAGGGATTGAATTTTGGACCTTGACACTTGTAAGATAGGCAGCCTGACCACTGAGCTAAATTCCTGGCCCTCTTTCTCTAATCTAATCCGCTATTTCTTTTACTAATAGTAATGCAGCTGATTCTCCAGGGCAATGTTGAACATAAGCTGCAATAATGGATACTTTTCTCTTGTTACTGACTTTAAAGACAGTGTTTCACCATTATGACTATTTATTTTAGATTGTTTATAATTTGTCAGGTTACGGAAGTAGTCTCTTTTCCTAATTTTGCTAAAAGTTTTTAACTTGAATGAATGTTTACGTATAGCAGCGTTTCTGCATCTATCAAAATGATCCAGTATTTTTTTCCTTAAGTGTCTTAATGTTGTAAATTATATCAAAAGCGATCTAAAGCAACACAGTAATACTATACAATCTCAAAAGGTACCAGCAGTTAAGTCATGACTCAGTAATCCAGTATTACACTAGAAATTCTTTATGAAAATTATTGCATATTTTATCATAATTATATTAAGGAAAAAGGGAAATTAAAATTCACTTTGATTTATTTCATCTGTAAATAATGACATCAGTTACAGATTGCTTTATCAGAATAAACAATATTAGAAGACATTAACTTCAATGGGCACTGCATGTGCAATTAGGAACACATCAGGGCTTAATATTCTGAACATGCATATCAGTCACTGAAAGAAAATTAAAATTCACTGTATATTTTGAAAATCTGAATCTTTAAATAGCTAATTGAATTTTAATTGGATTTTGTTCAAATTTAATTGTTAACACAAACCAAAAATATTTACTATTTGAGAGATGCGATGGTCACGTAACAGATTCTACTTACATCTATTAACTAAGCGTAAGTCCCTGATTTTCAGGGACTACAGTTCTTCTAGAATACAATATTGCTGAATAAATTTGAAAAAATAAAAAATCCAATGTTAAACCACTCTTTCTTCCATGTGATAAATTTTGTCATTTAGATTCTTTAAAAATTTTTTATTTATAATTTCTGCATTTAATTTTAGAATAATCATTGGCCTATAATTTTCCTTCTCCATTTCCTCTTACCTGATTTTTACTTCAAACTTGTAGCAGTGGCAAAATAAGTTGGAAGTTGAGAATGTTACTTCTTTTAACATTTTGGTTACAGTTGTACAAGATTCTGAATGTTGAGAAGACATTCTTTATAAAAAATATTTTGTTCTGCTGGTGTTTATGTGTGTGTTACATTTATAAATTTTAATTACTGATTTAATTTCTTTAATGATTATGTGATATTCAGTATTGGGGAAAACATTTGCAATTTCTCATATGTTTATCTCTCCTCTCTCTCTATAGTTATGCTCTATCCTTTCTCTTCCTTGTTGATCAGTCTTTATTAAAAAACAACTTTTACTTGACTTCCTTTGTTGAGAGACAGGAGATATGACATAATATTTAAATGGATAGGTCTTCAAGTCGGTGACTTAACTCAAGAGGTAATTATGAAGATTATAAATATGATAAATCATACAAAGTGAGTTCAAAACAAAATAAGGACTCAATAAATTTTAGCTAGTGTTATAATTAAGTTCATGATGATTTAATATCAATTGACCCAATTTATATTTTTCATTGCAATTACTACTGTCTGAAATGGTTACACTTTTAGATTTTTTTTCCACTTTACTATAAAAGAATTTATTCATTCCTTTATTGACAACCATTACATCTGAAGCTTAGACTCGTGTTCCACATATAGTAGAAAATGAATGAAATTTTACAAGTGAATGGAAAAATAGCAAATTAAAATAATGGTTCCTAACACATACCAGATGTTATTAGAATGATAAACTGAGAAAACAATTTTGATATAGAAAATATATGGAACTACATTCAGGGCAAAGATGAAAATGATGCTTAAAAGACAACATGTGGGGCAGGGTTTTGGCTCAGTGGTTCTGCCGCCTGCCTCACAAGCACAAGGACCTGAGTTCAATTCCCAGTACCAAAAAAAAAAAAAAAAAAAAAAAAAAATTCAACATGAAAAAAACTACATTTTGTCAGGGGTTTGAATTGGACATGATGGAGCACCAAAAACAGTTTACTTTATAGCTTTGCCTAGTTTAGATTTTTGTCTTTAATATAAGAACTATTCTTTAAAAAAAACTGTTCTAGAAATATTTACCAACTTAACACTATTGATGGAGTGTATCCCAAACATTTTGAAGTACTACAGGGTTTGTGTAGAAACTTTCATTTACTTAACTTTAAAAATCAGACTAGGGCTGGTGATCTAGCTCAGCGGTTCCATCGCTTGCCTCACAAGCACAAGACCCCAAATTTGATTCCTGTCAAATTAAGTTTTCTAAATTGATTACTTTTTTCTAAAGCCAGAAAAACAAGTGAATGTTTTTCATTTTATTTTTTTTCTATTTTAGGATCTTCAAAAACTGTTACCGTACATATCAAAATATTTTAGTATTGATTCAGTGATTTCTTCCCCCTGAAAATAAACTGAGCTTTTAATTGTTCCATTTTATTACAGAACATAAAGATATGAAGCCCGTGGGGAAAGCACCTCGACGAATGGTATATAATCTACTCAGCATAGGTTTTGTTCTTCTGAGAATGGTTTAATTGTCATTTATATATGCAAAAAGTCCTCAAATTTTATAATAAAGGAACACTTTATTGTTAAACAACTCATCAGCAGTTTAATTCTCTATTGAGTCTTTTGTACTCTTGCCTGTTACCTAAATTTAATGTCTGTTTTTAATTAAAATATATTGTAATTTGGAAAATAGAAAACAATAGCATATAGTCTTAAGGTTTTTAAAAATAATTACATTTTCATACGTCTGGAAAGAGTCTCAACTCTAATTTTCTAATGGAAATGAATTTTCAATACATTAAAATTATTATGCTTCAGTGAATGGATTAAATCAACAGATTAAACTCCAAATTAAAATTAATTAAATATTTATGATAGCAAAGGTAAATTTATGGCTTGAAAGTTATAATTAATTCTTTTAGAAGATTGTATTTTAAAATGTCATATAAATAAAAGGATATAAATAAAATATCTTTTAAACCTATTAAAACTATTTATCATATAGGTTACAACATTCGTACAAACCAAAGAATTACTCAATTGTGGCATTTCTTTGTCTAAGAACAAAAATTAAAAGCATTATTCAAGGGCCAGGGATTTAGCTCAGTGTCACCACACCTGCCTCACAAGTATAAGATCCTGAGTTCGATCCCGGTAGTGAACCAAAAAAAAAAAAAAAAAAAAGCATTATTCAATGAATTCAGTTTTAAATGTCAGAAATACTGAATTATTGATTCTTGTAGTCTACTTTTTTTCACCTAAGGCAACCCAGTTTTCCATCCTTTATAGATATATAAAACCACTATTAAAGTTATTTCTAACAAAACTGAGAATTATTTTATATATATATTGCCAAATATTTAGGAATTTCCACCTAGCTGGGAGATTCTTTTTTTTTTTTTTTTTTGAGATAAGCTATGTAGTCCAGGCCAGCCTAGAACTCCTGATGATCCTCCTGCCTCAGCCACCGGAGTGCTAGGCTTATCAGCGTGTCTACTCACACCCTGCATATCTTAGTTTTAGCATGTTTCCCACTAGGCTTCTTTGTGAAAAAAAAAAAAAAAAAAAAAGCAACAGTAAAAACTAAGATATGAACAGGGCAAGAAGTTGGTGACTTTAAGGTTACATCTAAAGTTACATATGTGCATCTAGTTACATGCATTATGTATATTTTTATCACCAAAGATACATATTATAAAACAACAGAAAATTAAACAGGATTACAGATAAAGGAATTTGAAAATGAGTGCTAAGAAAATATTTATGCCAACAAGATAATAAAAAACACTTTTGACATTTTTCATATTGTTTGCTGGCACTTATATCTTCATAACTAATTTAAAATTTTCTTTCAACTACTATTCCAGGGTGCATCATCATCTGAATTGATTGGTTTAGCTAAAACTAGGTGACATCATCTATAATTAAGTTTACCTGGGCTCACAAACAGCAGCAAGGAAAAGAAGTAAATATATAATCCTCACTCTCATTAGAGCTCCCACTTTACCTCAGGAAACCTACATACCACAGGTTCATGCTCTGTAGTCAAAACCAAAAGAAATCACCCTGGGCCCAAAATCAGTGTTCAAAGCGATACTGAATGGATATATTCAAAAAATATATTGGCATTGAGGAGATACATTAGAAAAGAAGACATTTAAAATTATCAAATATTTCACCTTAAGAAAATAGAAAAGGAAGAACAAATTAAATCCAAAGTAAGAATAAGAAAATAAATAATAAAATTAGAGCACAAATCAATAAAACAAACAAAATAACAACTCAAAGATGTTTCTTTAAAAAGATCAATAAAATTGATAAGATCCTACTCTGGTCAAGGAAAAAGAAAGAGGATATAAACCACTAATACAAGAAGTGAAAAGGCAGGTATCACTACAGATCTTATGAACATTAAAAGTTAAAAGAGTAATTAAGGGGGCTGGGGATTTAGCTCAGTAGTGCTGCCACCTGCTTTGCAAGAGCCCAAGTTCAATCCCAAGTATCAAAAAAAAAGGTAATTGAGGAATGCTATGAGTAGCTCTATGCCTACAAATTTGATAATCTAGATGAAATGGATCAATTCCTTAAAAGACACAATCTGTTAAAACTCACACCAGAAGAAACACACAATTTTAATAGGCATATACCTATTAAATAAATTGGATCAATTATTAGTAGCCTTTCCAAACAAAAAGCACTAGGCCCAGAGTAATTCACTGGTGAATTTTACCAAAAGTTTATTAAAGCTATTATCCCAATTCTCTAGAATTTCTTATTCAAAATAAAAGTAAAGGAATAAATATTTCCTAACTCATTCTGTAAGGCCATCAGTAGCACAATGTCCAAACCAGATAAGACATTACAAGAAATTAAAACTACATACTAAAACTCAAATGCAAAAATCTTGAACAAAATAGTGCTCAATTGGTTGAGTAAGGTATTACACAAATTATACACAATAACTGAGTGGAATTTATCCCAAGTGTACAAGCCTGAGTTAACATCTAGGTAGTCTATCACCTCATCCAGCTAAAGAAGAGAAATCACATGAGTACATCAATTGATCCAGAAAAACCAGCTGTCACCTGTTCCTGATGAAAATTATCAGTATCCTAGAATAAATAGCTGGGAATTTCTCAAGATAGCAATAAACAGAGCCTGGGCTTTGGCTCAGTGGTTCCAGCTCCTGCCTCACAAGTGCAAGGAATCAAGTTCGATCCCTGGTACCAAAAACAAACAAACAAATAAATAAATAAATAAATAATGCCTTCACAATTCTATAGATAACTATATTTGATAATGAAAATTGGAAGCTTTGCTACCAAGATCAGGAATAAGGCAAAAATGTCCTCTGTTACCATTGCTTTTTTTCATCATACTGAAAGTCTTAACTAATGCAATAACACATGAAAAAAAATGAAAGTTTTACACCTTGAAAATAAAGAAATAAAGTTATATTTGTTTGTCAATGACAATTTGCCTATATAAAGTCAACCAAAAAATCTAAAACTAGTAAGTGATTACAAAAAAGACTGCAAGATGCAAAGTTAGTATACAAAAATCAACTGCTTTTCTATATAACAGCAATGAACAAGCAGAGTTTGAAATTAAAAGCACCGTACCATTTATAGTATCACCCAAAAGAAATTCAGTAGTTATGTATAAATGTAACAAGATATATATGATATCTATGCGAGGAAAACTACAAAATTCTGATAAAAGAAATCAAAGAATAAATAAATGGACATACTTCTTGTTCATATATAAGACTACAAAATATTAGAATATCTGTACTCAATTTCACTGATTTAATGTGATCTCAGTATTAAGTGAAAGAAATATGAAAACTTTACACACTGTATGATTTCAACTCTGACACTGTGAAACAGGAAAACAATGGACATAGTAAAAAGATGAGTGGGTGCCAACAGTTAGATGGAAAGGTGAGATAAAAACACAATGGATTTTTAGGGTAGTGAAAGTACTATATTACACTAAGACTTTCAATATGCTTCATTATGTATTGTCCAGATACATAGAATGTATCACACTAAGAATTAGTCTGATAGTAAACTATACACCCTGGGTAGTAATAATGTGTCATGAAAGTCCATTAAGTTGTCACAAATATACCAGGCTGATGGAAAATATTGATAAAATGGGGTAGGCTATGTATGTAAGGGGGGAAAGGGTACATGAGGAATTATACCTTTACACTTTTGCTGTAAACATAAAACTTCTCTTAAAAAAAGACTTTTTTAAAAAATAAAACAGCTAAACAAAAAAAAAAACGAGCTCTTAGAAGCAAGATGGCTTTAGACAAATTCTATTTTTCCATCTGTTCAAGGATATGATAATGACATTTCTTAAGGATAAGTTGATATTTTCCAAAAATTTTAAATATTGTCTCACACATGTTAAGGATTTCTGAAACAAATTAAAATAATACAACTGTCTTAGCTACTTTTCTCATTCCTGAGACAAAACTCACAACACCCAGAGTTAAAGGAGGAAAGGTTTATTTTAGCTCAATTTGTAGAGGTTTCAGGCTCTAATCAGCTGGCTCCAAGGCAGGGTGGCATGACAGAGGGGCATTGCAGAGTAGAAATAGAAGACAGAAGTCAGAAGGCACAAAACAAGCAAGCTACAAGTGACAAGCAACCTTCCTAGCCCTCTTTCTGTCTCATATATATTTTTTATTTGTTTTTTTTTTTTTTTTGAGATAGGATCTCACTATGTAGTTGAGACTGACCTGGAACTCACTATGTAGTCCAGGCTGGTTTTGCACTCACAGCGATCCTCCTGCCTCAGCCTCTGGAGTGCTGGGATTACAGGAGTGCACCACCATGCCCAACTGTTCCTTAAATTTTTATCCAGGCTACACCAAGATGGGTAACACACCCAGGGTGAGACACCCATAATCTTGCCCAGAACTATGCCAAATCAATCAGTGGACTAATTTACTAATCACACATCCTTGATCCCAGCATCACACACTTTAGTTCCAGCCACCTCTGAAAAAGCCCACCTATGACCAAATAACGAGGCTTTGGGGGGACTAGCAACAGCCATTACAACAACCCTGGATTTTCACTGCTTGATAAATCATCATTATCACCTTTCATCAAAAGTTTTCTGTTGACATTTTATGTTAGCTTGTTCAGCTTTTCTAGATAGCATCTAGTATGGGCTTTGACATATAGAAAATAATAAAGAAATGCTAATTAAATTAATGAATGAGACATCTAGCAATGGAATGGGTTGCCCATTGCTGATTTCCTTGTTAGTGTAATTATTTGGCCAGAGAATGTTATGACTGTCATTAATGTATTAGAATATATCTAACATATAAAAGTGTCTAAAATATCTTCCAGATATGAAACTGCATGATTGTATTTTTACTTGAAAGCAAGGTCTGTGCCTGTGAACTTTCTCAACCATTTAGCACATTGCCTGGTAATATATATTAAAAGAATAAATGCATGAATGAAACCACCTTTTAAAGGTATAGTGCTTTTCAATTATGCTGAACAGAAGACCATTTTAAAAGTGAGGAACTGAAAAGAGGCCAAAGTCCCTCCGTTTTAGCTAAGCCAGATTAGACGCTCCATTATTCAGGCTGACCTTTAAACTCTGCAAATAGCCTTCCCTTGCCAAAGAATAGTTAACCAAAAACCAGGTTTTTCAGGAATTGCAACTGAGCAGTTTCCAGGAATCTCAACTGGGCGGTTTATTCCAGAAACTGCAGCCAGATCAAAGTATGGTGAAACTGGCTGTGGCAGTTAGATGACTAAGATAAATCTCCCGTGCAAACCCCTGCCTGCACCCAAATAGTAGCCAATACGTTTGAAGTATTACATCTTATAATATCCAATAGTAAGTTAGAATTATAGGCCAATAGAATCAGCAGAAATTGTAAAAAAGCCAATAGAATAAAGAGAATTTCAAGCCACCCAAACCCTATAAAAATAGGCTAATTTAGTGGGTCAGGACTTCCAGTTTGAAGCCCCTGTGTCGGTGACACTGGGAGTCCAGGCTTGAGCTTGCAATAAACTCCTCGTGTATTTACATGGGAAGAGTTTCCTGGTGGTCTTCTTGGGAATTTCGCGACTTGGGCACAACAAAAAGTAATTTTCTCTTTATTTTTATCTGACCAACTATAATGCTTTGTGGCAAAATTCTGCCCTAATGTCAATGCTTTTGGATACCTCCTTAATATGTAAAATATAATGTATATCCTAAAATAACCACACTTCTACTTTATGCTTAGAATTTAAATTCTTTCAAAGCAAGTTTTTCTTTGTCAGTTTTTGTCTGCTTTTTTGTTTTTTAGGAATATGTTTGCCTGGAGAGACCAGACCAAAATCTGCTAGGTTACTAGCCATTTCTGTGTGAAAGAAAGAAAATGATTTCGTGCCTGTGAGTGTGACAATTTATCAGTGAAGAACATGAATATTAACTTTTCTAAATCAACTTTTCTAAATGGTCCTGGTATAACGAAATAGAAATACTCTAACCTTATTATCTTTGGATGATCCCTACCCTCACCCCAAATCTTGAGCTTTCCACTCCATTTGTTTCCTCGAGTTCTACAAAGGTTCATTTAAAAATGAAAAACGATTAAGAAAAAAACTGAAAGAAAAAATCTCAAATCTCAGGACGTTATTCTATCCCACGATGACAAATGAATGATGAGTCATGCAGCAAATTTCCAACTGAATGGGTAAGGATGAAAAGTTAATTGAATTTTTATCATTTTCCCTTTTATAAGTAGAAGATTCCTCAAACACGTTATTCAGCAAATGGCATTTACCGTACATTTACCGTAGTTGGTTAACAGAGAAAAGTGTCAGGAATCAACTCTAGATAATGGATATTTCGATAGACTAGAATGGTGAAAAGCCTGTACGATACTCATTTAACTCAAGTCTCTCTTTTAGTTAGTAGGCAGGCATTTATTGAGAGCGGGCACCACCCGGAAGTTCTGATTAGCCCCTCCCTTGACTTCCCTTGTCTTCTCAGGGAGCCTCTCTTCCTCTTCCGGGTACCCGGGTTTGCCAGCCCCACCCCGTAGATTGGTAGGGCGGGGGGTCGGACTGGCGCATGCGCACGGGCCTGTCCGGCGGATCATGAAAGCCCCAAGGCCCAGCGACCCGGAGTGGTACTCCCAATTGCTCCCCTTGGCGCTAGGGAGCTTTTGGAAGCTGTGTCTCTGTGAGTTGTGGGTTCTACTGTTGGGTTCCGGTTTGAACGCCAAATTTTTGCCGCGCGAGGAAGACGTAAACTTTATCAATGAGTATGTGAACCTCCATAATGAGCTCCGCGGCACAGTCGTCCCTGGAGGGGCTAACCTGCGCTTCATGGTGAGGCCCGAGGCCGGTTTCCCGAGCCTCCCACCTCCCTTGTAATGGGGCTTCCTTCTGAGCTGGAAAATTTAAGCCCCTGCTCTGAGTCCAAAGAATCCCTGGGAACTCCACTTTAGGATTTAAAATACTTTACACGTAAATGCGTTGCCGCTCTAATACATGGTTACTGCATGATATTAATGTGGAGGCCCTCGCCTGAGGCGCAGATTTTAAGAGGCTGCCAATTCAAGGTACTTCAAAGCAACAAAAAAAATTTTTTTGTAATTAAAAACCAATGCAAAAATATCAGTTAATGGAGAAGGTTTCAAACAAGACAGCATCCTTGGTATGAATTTGAAGCAAATGTGGCTCAATCAGGGCAAGGCAAGTGCAAGTTCAGATTATATTTTTATTTAAAGTTTTGAATTTTTCTGATTATGGAAGTTTTCACGTTAATTAAGACCTTAAAATATTATTTATTTTGATTATTGAATGTTTTGGACACCCACTTCAAATTTTCCTCCCATGGTAGGTTTAGTCTTCTAGACCACACCCTATTTTGGGTTCTTTTACAAAGTTGTTTTGTCCCCAAGCCTTTTTATCCTATTTCCATTTAACATCTCACCAACTATTCCCTTGTTTCTACAGATATTTTATGATAGTCATTAAAAATGGCTACAAAATCCAGCAAATAAATAACTATCCTCCCAGGAGGCAATTAGTAGCTTCTAATTTGCATTATAAATTGTATTGCAAACACTGCTTCCCTACACATTGTCTTATCTCATTTCAGATTGTTCCTTACCAAAAATTTTAAATGTGGGATAAATAAAGGTATGATTTTTTTTTTTTCATTGTAAATGCTCTTTTGGTATCGGGGCTCGAACTTGGGACCTTGTGAGGCAGGCAGCGGAACCACTGAGCTAAATTCTCACCCCCCAATACTATTTTGATTGGACATATTTTAAATCTTGTTCATTTGCTTTACATTTTGTATTGTCACCATTTCCTTGTATGTACAGCTCTTCCTTTTATGTACAGATGTGCTTTGGTACTTTACTGCTTTGAAACTCATTGAGCTTGGTACTTGCATTTTGACTCAAAAATGTTGGCCTGGTGATCATAGTTTGTTTGGTATTGAATGCACGAGTTAGAACTTGTCCATATAGATTGCCTCTAACATGCAGTGTTTTCCATACAACCAAAACAATGTTTTTGTACTCCTCATTTTTTGGTACTGTTGCACTTTCCAGAACCAATTAAAAACAGTTAACCAGGGTAACGCTGTAGAACCATTTGCTGAACAATTTTCTTTTTCCTGAGGCAGATTTTCATCTTTTTCTTTTTCTTTTTTTTTTTTTTTCAGTACCGGGGATGGAACTTAGGACTTTGAACTTGCCAGGCAGGCGCGGAACACTGAGCTAAATACCCCACCCCCAGATTTTCATTTTTGAATTTAAAAATTCAGAGATATTTAGGAATTTTAGCTCTATATTTCTCATCTTTTGTGTTTCTTCCATATTTGTAATTATCCTTTCTCCTGAAAATTAATAAATAGAATATTTCCTGAAATGTTTTATTTATATTTTTGTCTTTAAAAATTATATAATATTAAAATATAAAGTATAAAATATAATTGTGAACCCACACTCTAACTGAAAATATGAACAAGTTTAAAGTAATGGTATGGTATTTTAAGGCTCTACCTAAATTTTTTAACTGTTCCTTCTTTCTATAAGTGGGCATGTATTTTTACCAAGTATTTTCTGGGAAATAATAAGGTAAATACTATAAACTGTGTTCTATTTAGAACCTCTCCAAATAGAGTGTGCATGTTTGGAAATCATAAATTTTGTTTTTATTCTTTACTGGTTAGTATTAGCTTTTTAATATGTGTTTCACATTGATTGCACATTGCAAATTCCAAAATTAGTATCAGCAATTTCCTTTCTAATATTAAAAAAAACCTCAAACACTTAAATTATGAGAACCTTCCTCTTATGTCATGCTATTAACATGTAGTTTTTTTTGTTTTACCTTGTTTTAAAATACCAAAAAATATTGCTTTTAAAAATTAGTAAAAAATACATACTATAATATTTACTATTTTAACCATTTTTAAGTCTGTAGTTGTGGCATTAGTTACATTCATACTGTTGTGCAATCATCACCACCATCTATCTTCAGAAATTTTTTCATGTTCTTTGACTGTAACTATACCTGTCAAGCAATTAGTTCCTTCTCCCATTAGTTCCTAAATTCTGTTTCAGAATTCTATTTTCTGTTTCTATAAATTTACCTACCTAAGGTACCTCATATCCTTATAAATGGATCCCTACAATATTTGTCTTTGTTACTGGTTTCTTTCAGTCAGCATAATATCTTCTAAGTTCATCCACATTATAGCATGTGTTAGAATATCCTTCCTCTTTAAGACCAAATGATATTCCACTTGTGTTATACTCATTTTGCTTATCTGTTTGTTGATTTATCCATCAACACTTGTGTTGTTTTCACCTTTTGGCTATTATATTTAATGCTTCAGTGAGCATGTGTGTTCACAAATTGTTTCAGGTCCTGCTTCTCCCCTTTCTAGTAATTGATCCAAACTGGAATTCCTGGATCATGTGATAATTTTATGTTTTATTTTTTATAAGAGCAGCTGTTCTGTTTTTCATAGTGGCTGACCCACTTTCCTTTCAGGAACGCACAAGGATTTCAGTCTGTCTACATCCTCACCAGCACTTGTCATTATCTGGTATTTCGATAGTAATTTAGTTGATCTGACTGTTAAACCAGATTGTTAATGTGATTTACTGAGGACCACGTAAGGGATTAGTATAAGTCACACTTCTGAGTGATTATATCTGGGTGAATCATGGAGGTGTACCCTTGTCTTTGCCCCTTTATCTCTCATACTATTCCCCTGCTCTGCCTCCCAGCCTCCATGAAGTAAGTAGCTTTACTCTGCCACTTGATTCTGCTAGGATGTTTCTGCCTTGGGGCCAGCAGACCTTGGACTGAACTCTTGAAACCATAAGCCAAAATAAAACTCTCTTCTTTTAAGTTGTGAGTGTGTCATATTTTGCCCTAGGAACAGGAAAGCTCATTAGTACAGAAAATTGGTAGCAAAAATGAATGGTCTTTGCTGTAATGGTACCTGACCATATGGTTCAGAGAAGGCTTTAGAAATAGTTTGTGCGAGGAATTTGGAAAAATTTGGAGATGCAAGCTATAGAAGCCTTGATTTGCTGTAAGCAGAGCCTAATGGGTAGTTCTGGTTAGAGTTCAAAGACCAGAACCCTGATTAGAAAGCAGACAGTGAAGGTCAGTCTCAGGAAGTTTCAGTTGGAAACGTGGAATTTTGGTAATTAGATGAGATTACATGTATGTATTATTATGGAAAAGAATTTTTCTATGTTTATCTCTGCCCTAAAACTCTGTGTATAGCTGATCTTAATAGCCATATACTAATTGATGCGGAGAAGGAAATTTCAAATCGACCCAATGTTCATAGGTTGGTATAAGTACTGCTGACTGCTTTTAGCTAATGAGAATCAGGAGCAGAGAGCAGAGAATTAAGATTTGAACCACTTAAATTTTGGCCCCAATAAAACCACATATAAAGTTGGGGGCCAAAGGAGGTGTGGTTGCCAGAGAGATTAATGTAATTTAAAAGAAGCCAAGTGCTTTGAACTGAGGTAACAAAAAACAAAGATGCTTTGAGGTATTTCAGGTATCAGCAACACACCATCTATTGCAAAATTCAAGGCTACAAAAGTATAAACCTTTCATTTGAGAAAGATCATTCTTCAGAAAGAATAGTCATATAGGGAATTGTTACTCTGGGACTCATTGCATCATGATCAGCCGTCCAGGCACTCAGGCCTCTTCAGGTAATGTCAAAGGGGGCACCCTTGGAGTTTATTACAGCCCTTGATGTTATCCATGTCAAGGTAATAGAAGAATTGCAAGGTAATAGAAGCTTCTATCCAGATTTCAAAGCAGAACCTGAGAAGGCAAACAATATCCACTGAGAATGGAGTCCAAAAACTGTGGAAATTAAGCTAAAGGAACCCATGAAGTTGGAGATACCAAGAATAGGAAACATCTGCTAAGGAAAGACAACACAAATACAGAGCCAACACTAATATGGGCTACTACTGACAAGGCCACATGGGTGGGGATGCTAAAGTGCTTTGGAATTCAGGTCTCACTGTACATGTCCTGGATTCTGAAAAGGAGCTAGCAGACTTAATGTTTGCTCTCTGGGATTTGGTCTTGAGTTAGTCCTGTTCTTTTTTATCCCCCTATTCTTCCTCTTTAGTTTGGGAGTGTTTACCCTATACAGTTATATATTAGAAATATGTAACTTGCTTTAAAAATTTTATAAGGGTTCACGGCTAAGAGTTTGCCTTGTCACTTCACTTGATCTTAGCTGAAAGGCCAAGAAGTGATTGCCTTGATTCTCAAAGGAAACTGCAGACTTTAGAACAATGCTGGAAATGTTGAGACTTTGGGAACTGATTTTTATATTTTTTTGTTATACACAGGACAATTATGTTAGGTGGAATTATAGCATTGTGTTTATCTGGAGATTAAGTATGGTTTAAGGAGATGTGTTTGGGTATCAAGTTGACAGGGGATCGAATGTGACTTTTAAGCTGAATAGTTACCTGGATTGGACCTAGGGACATCTAGGGGATTAGTAAAGCACATTTCTGGGTGGGTCATGGAGGTGAACCCTTGAGTATCTGCTCAACATGCAGTGAGCATCTTTGCCATACAATGATCTTCGACCATGACATTTCTACCTTAGAGACACAAACCAGCTACTGAACCCCTAAAACCATGAGCCAAAATAAACTACTAACTCTTTGAGTTGTTGCTGTTAGGTATTTGGTTCCAGCAAAGGGATAGCTGACAAATGCAGTGTATCATTGTGGCTTACTGATTAGTGACATTGAATATATTTTCATGTGCTTATTGGTAGTGTTTATCTTGTTTGGGGTAGGACT